TTATACATGAGAGGGGAACCATTATACATGAGAGGGGAACCATTATATATGAGAGGGGAACCATTATACATGAGAGGGGAACCATTATATATGAGAGGGGAAACATTATACATGAGAGGGGAACCATTATACATTAGAGGAGAATCTTTGTTTTTGTCACATTTTGACACAGAATACTGCATTTTTTTATATTCATATAAGAATTGATTGATGACTAATGATTGATGACTGAACTCCTTACTTGTATTCTCTTGTTTTTGTAGGAAATAAATACTGTGAAGCTAGCAGCAAACTTTGGGAAACTTTGTACAGTCCCCTTGGATAGCATTCTTGTAGACAACGTTGCACTACAATTTTTTATGGGTAGGTAAAACTTTATTTAAATAATAGAAGATGCTAAATTTTTATGGATTTTAAACTCATGGTAAAAGTACAAGTTAGCAAAAAAATTACATGAATTTAATAGTTCTAAGTGTATAGTCCAGTGATATTAAATACATTGTTGAGGTACAAGCATCCTGTGTCTATCTCTCTAAACTGGTTCTTCTGTTATAAGGCAGACTTCCTGCTTATGAAAGTGATTTACTTACTTCCTTAGCGTATCCTCAGGATTCTTTCATGTTGTAGCATATGTCAGAATTTTTCTCCTTTCAAAAGCTGTCACACACATGCACACACATGTGTGCATGTATGCTCACTTTCCTATCCCCTAGTACCCTTTACATGTCCACATATTCCCTCAGGAATCATGGGTTATTCTGTAGTTGAGTTAGTGTAAGTCAGGTTGCAGTGTGTCTAGTTGTATAGTAGCTGTTTAGTATACGGTGTCCAGCTCTGTTAGGTGTATAATAGTAAGTGCACTTAGTGAATTGTACTAGGGCTTTGTACTAATGTTTTGAAGATCCACCAACCTTTTTTTTAGTGACTGTCCCGTTTTACATTTTAGCTAGTTCACTCTCCCAGGTCTTTACTCAGGCTTCCTTTAGAGTTCTGTCAGGCCCTGCCAGTACTTCCTGGAGTTGGCTTCCTGTTCTGGTACCTTGCATGTAGTTTAATAATTTAAAGTATTAGTATGAATTTTAGATGATTATTTTGCATTCCAATTTGAGCTCATTTTTTCTTTTTATTTAGAAACTATGGAGGTAGATTTTTTTTTGAAAATAAAAACTGCTTTTCATAACTAATAAACATTTGGCAAAGTATTTTTAGTTTAAATCATAGAAGATTCTATTATGCTTTAAAATTCATTGAGAAACATTACTTTATTGGCCCAGTCCTTAGTAATTGGAAGCAGAAGGATTAGGAGAACAAGGTTGTTAGCTATATAGCAGTTCCAGCCTGAGATACATGAGTTCCTATCTCAAAACAAACATACAAAAATATTACTTTATTGGGAACAAATAATGTAAAATTATATTTATTTGTGAATGAGAAATTTTGGTTTTATGTTGATTTTATAGTACTTGCTTATTTTTTAATGTCACATTAAATTATTTTTATATGGTAGACATTTCTAGTAAAAATCCTCGAGTCAATGCTAATCTTAATTTTAATATATCTAGAAAATTTCATGTTATTACTAATTTTTATTCTGATTAGATATTAAATATTGGTGAAGTACTTAGTAATGTAAAGTCTCATGAAGCATGTTCTTTAGAAATTTTATCATCAAGACATGATACTAAAAAGCTTCAAATTGAGCATAGTGAATTATGCCTATACTCATAAGGATTAAGTATCAAGATCTTAAGTTCAAGCAAGCCTGGACTACTAGTGAGATTGTTTTTTCTCAAAAACAAACAGAAAAAGCATTCTCCTGTTTCCTGTGTAACTCTTATTTTACTTAACCAATTTAAAATTACATTTTAATATTACTTTTTGACATTAGAGACTTACTAAAGCTTTTGCTTTTAATTGTTTATTTTTGAGATTAATATAATTCTATCAATCATTTTCCTCCTTCTAGATCTCCTCATGTATCCCACCTTACTCTTCAAATAATTGACCTCCTTTTTGTTTAACTGTAGTTACATACGTGTGTGTGTGTGTGTGTGTATATATATATATATATATATATATATATATATATATATATATATTCCTTAATATACAATTCAGCCTGATCTGTCTGTATAATGTTACTTGTAGGTGTTTTCAGGGAAGACTATTTCCCAATCTCAGCTTTTCTTAGTTTCCTGTAGTTCTTTGTGTAGGCTTGAGGACACATGGGCTTTCTCTACTGCACTTCAGTATGTGAAATGTAGAGTTCTAGATATTTGAAATTGTTCCCTTCTTATTTGTCATGCAGTATCATGAACCTAAAAGTATGGCATTAGTAACTGTCTTGCTGTCGCCTCTGTGTGGTAGATTATATGCAGCAAACTGGAGGCCAAGCACATCTCTTCTTTTGGATGACAGTGGAAGGGTACCGGGTCACAGCCCAGCAGCAGCTAGAGGTTCTCTCAAGTCGTCAGAGAGATGGCAAACAGCAGACTAACCAAACCAAAGGTCTTTTAAGAGCAGCAGCTGTTGGAATTTATGAACAGTATTTATCTGAAAAGGTAAGGGTTCATTATGGACATCATTTTCTATATTACGCAGTATCATTCAAAATAATTAGTGTGATACTATACTGGGCATGATAGCTTCCTGGGGATTATCTTTCTGTGTCTTTTTATTCTTGTTGTTCAAGAGAGGAATCCAATGTTTATAAAATCAAATAAATGTGCCTAAGGTCATGGAAATACTAAATGAGTAAGTCAAAACTGGTAGTCACTTTAGATTCAAGAACATGATGAATGGAAATGAGGATACAGAGATAAAAAACATGTGAAAGCAAGCAGAAGAGAGCTGCAGATGGACCTTAGCGTACAGCAGCAGTCTAGCTTGCA